CTGGAGGCGTCCTCGCGCAGCTGCGGGAACAGGAAGTCCCGGGCGGCCTGGAGGTCCTGGAAATGGCAGAACTGGACGATGGAGCAGGCCATAGCTGCGGGAGCCGACTCGGGGACTCCGCCTGGCTCGGCTCCTCGCCCCGAGAGCTACGGGAGCCCAGGCGGGGCAGAACTGCCGCGTTGAGTCGACGTGGCGGTTCCTTCTGTCTTTTTGCCCAGTGTGACCGAATGGGACCTTGCTCGCGCCTTTGAGTCATCCATCCAGTTTGTTGATGTTTTAGTGCTGACACGATTCTGATATTTCACAGAGTAATGCGGTTTAATCCAGGGACAGGTGCCGGTATAAAATACACGTATAAATAGCTTGTTTTGAAAAGTTGGATTTCTGGAAATCAGCCCCATCCAGGCTGGCTTTAAAGTGTGACCGAATGGGACCTTGCTCGCGCCTTTGAGTCATCCATCCAGTTTGTTGATGTTTTAGTGCTGACACGATTCTGATATTTCACAGAGTAATGCGGTTTAATCCAGGGACAGGTGCCGGTATAAAATACACGTATAAATAGCTTGTTTTGAAAAGTTGGATTTCTGGAAATCAGCCCCATCCAGGCTGGCTTTAAATGCTCCTCCTATAAATTACCGCATGGCTGTGGAAGCCAAACAGAGTATACGAGTGACACTATATATAGTCTTTGTATTTTACTCTGCGTTTCCACCATCCAAATGATTCTTCATTCATTTATCCATCCATTCAGCAAGAATTTGTTAGTCTTCTGTGCCAGCCGGGTTAGGCGCTGGGTGTCACAACAAAAAGAAGGACCTGTTCCAATGGCACTGAAATGCCAGAGAATGACGCAGACAGTAAGCAATTAATTACGCACCGATGTAACTGAAATTGTGATAATTATAGGAGAGAAAGAAGCAGAAAGGGCTATGACAGAAGGTAACAGGGAAGCCTTAACCTAGTTGCTTTTTGTTTGTTTTGCGTTTGGTTAGAGGGGCAGATCTGCTAGCATCAGGAACAGATTACCGTAATTCCAGAAGGCTGGAATCTCCCTTTGCTCTGTACAACCAGTATCTAGAATAGAACCAGGCACGTGGAGAGTGCTTGATCATATTTCCCGAAGGAATGGATGTGCATATAAAGTAATAGAATACCCATTTCTTTTAGGAAGCACCTTGTTCTTGAAAGTACTTTTTCATCATTGTCCAATTGGAGAATAGAAAATGTCATCTTGAAAGAGTGTGTCTTGCCCCAAATTTTTAAATAAAGAAGTTGATCTAAATGAAGGAGACTCTTGAAGTCCATTTAGGTTATAATTTTTTCTGGAGGACAAGAAACAAAAAATGTATTATTTTAATATTGGCACAAAGAACTGTAGGCACTCATTTCCTGAAGAACGAGGTAATCTACTTTTTATAAGAGAATCAATGTCAGGCACATATATGGAGTCCGGAGATTCACATTTCTCAGTCCTGCGTGCACACTTAGTGCTAATAGTGTAACAACTTTAACTTAGTGCCAAAGTTCTTGCTCTATAGGTTCCTGCCTCTAGAGTGGAAGGATTTTTACAAAATGGGACCAAGAATTTCTACGTTATAAGGTTTACAGGGATCAGTTTTTCACTATTAAATACAGGTTTGGATTGGATGTATTATAAATTTAAGTATCAGGGAGCTATAATTATATAATTATATCTTGCAGAAATGCAGTGGCCAGTGGTTCTTCCTCATCTGAAGAACACACAGTGCAACCTCAGTGGAATAATCCAATTCTAATAAGATTATTTCCTAAAATCCAGCACCAACAGCAAACTAAAATGAAATTTAAACCAGGCACAATGGTGCATGGCTGTAAGCCCAGCACGTTGGGAGGCTGAGGCAGGAGGTTCACAAGTTCCAGCTGGGGCAATTTAGCAGCAAGACCCTATCTCAAAATTTTAAAAAGCCCTGGGAATGAAGCTCAGTTCAAATGCTCTGGATTCAATTTCTAGTACCACCAAGAAAAAGAGGAAAGGGAGAGAGAGAGAGAGAGAGAGAGAGAGAGCGAGAGACATTAAAATTTAATTCATAGCTTTATTGGACAAATAAAGAGCTCATAGCCCTTTATGGAATACAGAGTCCTTCTTTGAAACCATCAGGTTACTGTGCAGATAAGTGCATGTTTCAGTAGGGACAGCTGCTGTCTGGCCCTGCAGCTCCTGTGTGGCAGTTGTTGGACCTCATTACTGTGCTGACTCAGTGTCAGTAGCAAACTCTTGACTTCCTTCCAAGTGGCATTGAAAAGGCTCATTCATGCATGCTTTAAGGATTTCAGATACCCTTCACAGAAACTACAGCACTCTTATGAGCTATTCTTCAGGGGTCACCTCGGAGCTCTGTTGCCACCTGTAGTTCCTGTGGCATGGGGGAGGATTGTGTCAGACAGTGGACATGTAACCACACAGTCTCACGAAAGCACATTGAGGAAAATGTGTGGGCCTTTTATTTGCAGGTGTAGATGGTGTTTCTTTGAGGTCTGAGGTCAGGAGCTAGGAAAAGAGCTCTGACCAGAATAAGAGGAGGTGCTAGGTACCCAGGTACGATTTGAACGACCCAAGACTCACTCCTCTGAGTCAGAGCACCCGGCAGCTGCTAAGAGAGAGACGCGTGCTGACAGTAACTCACAGAGGCAGATATTTGCCAGTCCTTAGCCACAGTCCAAAGCTGAGGAGCTGAGCTGCAGGGCGGCCAGCAAAGGGTGACAGAGAGCAGTGGACGTGGGGTCAGAAGCCCTCCAGTCTGTCTCAGCTTTGCTACTGACCTGTCTCCCAACCTTGGGCGATATGTGTCACCTGTCTGGACTTTAGTGTCTTGACTTGTAAATGAAGAGGCTGGGATCTGAGGCCAACCCCAGAGATATGAAGGTTTCGGTAAGCATCTAGCAAAGGTGAAGTCCGGAGATTGAGTTACCCAAAAGGCACTGAAAAGAAAGGCCTGGGTTGGCAGAAGTGGGTGTGAGAATACTGAACGTCTCTGAAAGCACAGAGGAGAAAAGGAGGAGAGTTACTGAGGGTCATCCTTGAGCAGAAAACGGTGTGGGCAGAGCCAAGGGCTTTCTACAGTGAGTTTCTATTCAACAAACATCTGTGGGTGGCTTACGTATGGTTTGGATCTAGATGTCCCCCAAAGCCTCATGTGGTCATAGGCTATGGCTATTTTGGAGGTGGCAGAAACTACAGTGTGTGGCTGATCATGACGGGCTAGGCCCAAGGACACTAGGATTAAGGGTGTGGGTGCTACTTACCCTAAGTAGTCTGAATAAGATAAAAGGAGCAGAAAGATGCTGTTAAAGTCTCTTGTTGTCTTTGCTACTTTGTGCGTGCTGTAGGGAACAGGGAAATGGGGTACTACTAGAATTCCTGCAGTGAGTCGGTAGTCTCCTGTGTGCCACTACAGCACAAGGCAAATTAATTAATTAAAACAGAGAATGAGACTTAGAGAAAAGGCTGAGCTTTGGCCCTGATCAATGTTGCTCTTGGCAGCAAAGACGAAAGACCCAAGCTTTTATTTGGTACAATGGGACCAACAGATAACGCAGAGGGCCTGCAGAAGTGATAATCCCAGAACAATGGCAAATTTATGTAGATGAAGATTTTGTTTCTCCCCAGGATGTCTTCAACTGGTGTAATCCTGCCCTGGAGCATCATAGCATCACCTGACCACTGAGGTTTTAGCTGTGACCACAGGTGAAGATGGGTTATGTCTCATGCCATAGCTGGCCTATAGGCAGGAAATCTAGGCCTATTCATAATTTAATTATGAAATATTTCCCCCCAAATTATGTAGCATTGTAGGCCATGTCATTTTTCCTCTGCACAGGCTATTTGCCACCCCTGCCTTGGAGCCAGCCGATTATGGACTGAAGCCTATGGACTGTAAGCCAACTAAACCCCTTCCCCTCTGACTTTGGGTGCTGGGTATTTTGACTCAGAAATGGGAGAAAAGTATGTAAGACAGCTTATTTTCCAAGAGGTTCTGTGGTGGGCATGGTGGGGCGATGAGAACAAGCACTACAGACACACTACCCAAAAGCAGGCAGCTGTGGAGGAGCCCACCAAGGAGCAGAGTGGCCAGGGCAGTGGGAGAAATAAAGGCAGGGTCTGATTGTGTTACTAGGCTTGTTGTGTGGGAAAGGATTAGCGAAGAGGTAAGGAAGGTGGTAAACAGACTAACTGAGGATTATAGAGAATTTTAAAGCGGGGGTGGGTGGGTAAGTGAAGAATTTGAAAGAAGAGCTAGCAGTGTGTGGGATGACCGATGGCAGAGACTCCTCAGGGCGTCATAGCGATAACCAGAAGTAAGGACCGGCCAGAGGGCAGATCCGTGGGGGTCTGGACACACAATTAGATGCAGGCAGTGGGATGGGAGGGTAAGACTCGCTGTGGTGTTCAAGCGCTCGGTCCAGAGATGGGGGAGGTTACAATGTCACGTGCAGAGAGAGAGAGAGAGAGAGAGAGAGAGAGAGAGAGAGAGAGAGAGATTGCGCAAAAGGAGGGATAGTTGGAGTCAAACGAGGCTGGGATGATTTTGGTCTTGGAGCTATTCAATTTGAAGAGCCTCTGGAAGAACTAAGCTTTCAAAAAGTTGTGTCCTATTCACCGAGGTTAGAAACGTGGGATCAGACACAGAGGTTTTACTGAGGCATGGGCTGAAAGTGCCAGTGACGTGTGCTTGGCGTGGAAGTGGGATTGGGTCAGGGAAGCTAGCCAGGGGACTATCGGAAAAGCAGCCCGAGTGCAGGAGACAGGAAAGAAGCAGTCAGAGGAAGCCACGCAGAATAGGCAGATGCCGAAGATCCAAGAGACAGAGAGGAGACATTCACAAATGGGTGATGTACTGTATTGAATTAGACAAGAATGTAAGGGAAGCAAGGCTGAGGAGAGAGACCATGTCTGGTGGGTAGGGAGCCTCAGCGAGCGTCCAGCCTACAGGACAGGCAGAGGACATGTAATAATCTTTCTTCAGAGGCAAAATATTTTTTGATAGACACAGAGGCAGTGGCAATCTTTTTCTGTAAATATAACTAAAGGAGAAACTTTCTGAAAAAGAAAGGTTTCCCTTACGCTGGCATTGATCTTATGAAAAGCAAAGTT